AACAGGAGAAGGTGCTCCTCCTCTCACTCCTTACTTCTAACTGGAAAGTATGATAAGAGGTGCAATAAACAGAAGGGAGAAACTCTTCATTTCTCAGCCATCAAACTGGGACAGAAATAGACGTGAAATGGTGAAGAAGAAATCAGCCTGAGAAGGCAGTTAAGTGCTGATTAGGTTTTCCTGTTTCCATGAAGCTGCCTACTCCTGTAATAAAAGTTTAGATCTTCTATAAAAATAGAGTGTTCTTTAAAACAGATCCTCTGTTAACTACTGAAGGTTTCAAAGCAGGAAAATGGTAAGGTGGAGAGAAAAGGCATGGGTCAATGTATTAGTGGAATAATATTATTTTTCGTATATCACTACATCGCTGTACATACCCCAGGGTCTCATTCACAATTTTAACTCTTTTCCTACTTTCTTACCTTGTTGTCTTTAAGGAAAAGTGCTAACATTTCTTCTCTGCCGTAACGATAATCTGCTAATTTATACTTCGGCAATGCTGGAGAGAGAGGCGGGGAAGTGATACTCCCACCGCTGGAGAGAGCTCGGAGCCTAGAACAGGGAAAGACAGAGCATATAAAATAAAGTGCCAAATATTCTGGCGCTATGGACTTTTTATTTTATATAATACACTGTAAAAAAAATTTCATTTTACTTCTTTAGAAAAGCAGAAAGAAATCCCATCATCTCGAGGTATTGAAGACATTAGCTTTAACACCTTTTGTCACAGCACACTAAGAAAGCAGTTCACTGGGCAATAACATGGCAATTCCTTACTTAAAAGGTATCATGGTATGTCCCCGAGAAGCTTGGGGGATGGGGAGGGGGATACATTTTTCCAAATTACAAAAGTCACATATGATTAAAACAAAAGTGAGATATCACCTTACACCCATTAGAATCATGAAAATTAGTCAGTCTGATAATATCAGGTGTTGGTAAGCATGTAAAACAAACTCTCAGTGTTTGTGACACTATATTAATATATTGGAAAAACCACTTCAAAGAATGATTTGGTAACAGCTAATTATTTCATATCTATTTGGCAATTTGGTAATAGGTAAAATATTTAATAAAGTATGGTATACAAAAGAAAACAGCTTATAGTAGAGATAACTTTTTTATAGTAAAGATAACTTTATTTTATATCTATAAAATGCATAGACCTGTAAATAAGTTTACACTGTTTCAAGACACATACAGAATGCAGCAAAAGCTAGAAACAAACAGGGAACTGATAAATAGTCAGGATAAGGTTACATCTGCAAAGAAAAGGCAAGTACAAAGAAAGACAGCTTTCTGGGAGGCTAAGCTGGGAGGATCACTTGAGCTCAGGAGTTTGAGACCAGTCTGAGGAAAAGCAAGACACTGTCTCTACTAGAATTATAAAAAATTAGCCAGGCGTGGTGGCACTCGTCTGTAGTTCCAGCTACTCAGGAGGCTGAGGCAGGACGATCCCTTGAGCCCAGGAGTTACAGTGAGCTATGACTGCACCACTGCACTCCAGCCTGCACAATAAAGCAAGACCCTGTCTCATAAAAAAAAAAGATGACGAACATGACGACAACAAAGAAGAATTATAAAAGGGCAAACTAACTCATGAGATTAGTTTTGGAAAAGTGTAGAGTATGAGATGCTTATAAGACAACTAAGTAAAAAATCAAACAGGGACCTGAATATCCTGTGCTCCCATTATAATTCCTTTACAGCATTATGACATTACAGTGAGATTATTTAGTGTCAGATTCCATACTAAATTCAAAAATAGATACCAGATCTTTTTATCCTCATTGCCTTAACCACCTAATCCAAAACGTAGAACGTGGCAGGTACTTGGTAAATGTTTTCTGAACAAATGTTAATATTCTCTTCTAAATACACTCCTGGCTAACATCTAATTTACTATCCTTTCAGTTCCCATAGACATCTTTTACCCTTTTGGAAAACTGGGAATATTAACACATTCCATCCTTCAGAACTGCTCTCATTTTCCCCATAATTCCACAAAGATTTCTGGATAGTAAACTAGCAATCTCAGGTTTGCATTCCCTTCTTGTCCCCATAAGACCTGAATGCCTTCATTCAACAAACATTTATTAAATGCCAATGTCCAGCATGCACCAACCTAAACAATGGGCTTATCCAAAACTGAGAAATACAGTGCCTTTCTTCAAGGAATTAGTTCTTTCCTGAGTAAGGCAAATATGTATCAATATATAAAGAGATACACCACAAAGTCATAACTATTGTATAAACAAAGCACTCTGGGGGAAACAGAAGTGTCTCCCTCTTTTTTGCAAGCAAAAACCTGGGAAAACTTCCTTAAGACCACAGAGATGCAATAGAGGAAACCGCAAAGGAGATTCTTGGCTCCTTTCCCATAAAGCCAGCTAACTGGCTACAATTATTCTCCCTGTAATGAAGTCCTTATCTAGACTTATCTGAGATTGATTTGATCCTCAAATACTTTTAAATTCAT